GGAGACAAAAAAGCAAAGAACGAGAGGTCGGGGAGTGCGAGCGAGAGCGAGAGGATCTCTTACAGCATCACTGATTGACAAGCGCTTAGGGCACTTCTCCATCCTCTCATGTTGGGCTGAGGGCAAACTGGATGCTACAGTGACTCACTATCACCTCTCGAGGCACAAAATGGTATTACAAGACAGGACGGGTATGGCTAGCAGGTTAGCATGCTAATTTAAGTACATACTCTGCAACGCAATTCATTTGACATCACGTCAGAACTGTTACTTTACATTTTGTTCATAGCTATTTTGTTATGTTTTGAATGAATATCTTACACATTGCACCTTTAAATAAGAAGATCCAAGGTTTATGATTATCAAAATCTGGAGCGTTCCCATTTAACATTGGCAAAGTTGTTGTATCTTGTCTGCCAGTTTTAAGCAGTGTAGGATCCTGATTTTCTCTCTCTGGAGCTCCTCTGGACTGACTTGGCCCACCAGCTTGGCAGCGAAGTGGATCATGTCCTGCATGAAGAGGCCCACAGCTCCTCTGGGTGCAGGAGGGATCTGGGTCAGGGTGCAGGAGTCAAAGCGAAAGTTTAGTTCTTAGCCCTGGGGCGGCCCGGTCCCCGTTCCTCAATCCATGTCAGAGGTCTAGAAGGACACAGATGTTTATTAATGTTTAGATGGCCCTGTAATTTACCTGCCTCCACCCCTGTAACAGCAGAGGCTGGCTACAACATTGGGGTTTAAACATGTTAATCTGGCTACTGCTCAATGACTGATCGTGAACTTTGCTATTTTAAGTAAAATGCTAAACAAGACTACAAAGACCTTTCTAGTTAGGGGTGTAGCTAAATTTGCAATGTTAAATTTTAAACAGGTCAGAGTGGGATTCAAGAGGCCAGTATACTTTGACAGTGCTTGCTGGGTAGTTGAACAGCACTTAATAATGTGTATTTATTAAACTGACAACTAACATTCTGATTTCAGAAAACATTACTTCAGCCTGTAACTGGACTAAAGTTGTACGAACCTGAAACCTGAAACCTCAAGACACTTCTGACAGAAACTCTGCTATTTAAAACAAAGTTTCAGTCAATCCATCACATTGTTATTTTGAAACATTATCCACATGGAAACCATATCTGCAGTGATATCCTGTAACAAGTGTGGATAGTCCCTCTCCTCTCTGCTTCTGTCGCTTTCTGCCGGTGTTTCTGGCTCTGGGGCTGTAGTGTCTGGATCTGTGGTTGTGGCCTTTATGCTGCCCCCCATGTTCCTGCTCGACACCCGCAGCTACAATTATCATTAGTCCTATTATTATTATTATCATTACTAGATATATTATTCATTTTAATTGATAAATTAATCCACTACCACCATTATCACTATTTTACATCTCTATGTGGAATTTCCGGTGGGGGTACTGCGTTCTCCTTTTCCTTGCCACAATCGCCAAGTGCTTGCTCATGGTGGGAACTGTTGAGTTTCTGTTAATAATATTAGTACAGCTTAGACCTGCGCTATATGAAACTAGAAATAAGATAAAATGCACCAATTCCTCCTGTTCAAGTAACATCAATGGCCAGCTGTTTTAGGAAATTACTTAATATTTAGCTATGTAACTATATTTGTAACTGTTTGAATTGGAATCAATGGACTAGGGACTGAGAGGCACAGACAGGGTAGAGAAGTCAGACATTATTGAGGGATGGCCTAATACATTTTTTAGTTTTAGTATTTTCATGGGTAGACATACAGGCAGATGGATGTGTCCTCCCTCACCTGTTGTCAGATGTCAGCAGCTTTGCAGTCATCTTGCTGTAGTTTTTACCAGAGTCCTCCTCTAAGGTTGCTGCAGTTACTGACAGCTCACCAAACAACTCAACCAACCAGGTGAGGCGAGCAATACCACTGAATGCTTGGAAACCAAATCCAGGCTTCAGAGGTCCACCTTGAACAAATGAACAATACACAGTCATTTAAAATGTACATTTCTTTACAGACATTTAGCTTGAGTTGAACATGAGAGGAAAGTTTTGGATAAAACACATAGTCTCTTACCAGTAAAATGCAGAGTACCTTCCTGCAGGATTTTTCCCTCTACCTCCTTCTTCAGTCCTTTGAAGTCTTCTGTCAGCAGCTCGATGTGTTCCTCATGGAGAATCAATCCTGACACACACACAAACACACACACACACGTTTACTGAGATAGTAGATTGAGATGCACATACTGCTAGTGTGTTTTTGCAAAAGTGTCACCCAGAGCTGATTGTAGGAACCAAGCACTGATCTGAGGATGTAGAAGTCATTTGGTGCAATCAGGAACAGTGAAACTTCACCCCAGACATGCTCCTCATAGTGACAGATGGTCATTACCCCAAACCATGTTATCAATAGTAGTGTTACTTTCATCAGACCAAACTAAATTAAATTTATTTGTCAATGACAAAAAAATGAATGATGATGACGGCGACAATGTCCTTAAACACTGACTGTGACTATACTAACATGCAATTTCAAATACAGTGAAGCAGACAAAAAGAAATTGTGAGTGCCTAATTATATCGGATGGCAATTAATGTGGTAATAAGATTTTTGGAAAAAACACTACGAATTTGAAGCAGCATATCAAGGCTAACCACCCGGGAACTGAAAAAAGTTAACGTCTCCTTTGTAATAACAATTACAACAAAGCTAACGTCCCATTTTAATAAACATTTTATCTATATGTGAGATGAGTGAAATAAAGTAAAATGATAAATATCTCTATTTTGGTTAGAGCAGTTTGACCAAAATGTTAATCAAAATTATACTAATAAGTTAGAAAAGACTAAAATGATGGTTAATGACTAAAATCAGACTAAAATACCCAGACTTTTAGTCAACTAAAACTTGATTAAAAAATAGTATACAGTGGACTGAATATGACAAAAATTAACAAGGAAATTTGACACAGGACTAAGTAAATATTAAAATGGCAGACAAAATGAACACTAATCAAAAGTACTGATTATTATGATGTATCTGAAACAAATTAATTTCCTTCCACTGCTAAGGAGGCGTCTTACTGCTTAATAACTGCACTGAAACTCACCGATGGTCTCTTTGAAAGCATTTCTCTGAACTTTCCCTCCTGACCTGCACATTGAACATACATGGGTACTTACACATTGTTATAAATTAGTCTCACCTTTTTCCTGGGCAAAATCCCAGAGCTCCACAGCAGCATTGTAGTTCATGGTCATGGGATACTCAACACAGACGTGTTTCCCTGCCTGTAGAAAAGTTCTGATGAGAAAGGAGGAGGGAGTTTTCTGATTAGAAACTCTTATTGTTGTGCATTCTGTTTCTCCATGGGATGTTACATATGACATATTACCTGATAAAGTTACACACACTGCCTATTTATACATCCAGCAGGCACACAGCAACACCAGCATTCATTTGGAGGTGTTTATCTGGCCACCTGACTAATGTCAGTCCAATATTCACTCTCTTTTAGCTCTGGTTTGGTCTCCACCATCTCTTGAGGGAAATATCCGACTCTGACTGAGATGCTAAGTGCTCCACTATGCTCACCAGCTTGTCTGTTACTTTCTCTGCCTGCTATTTGCTGCTGAGCAGGTAGTGTACATTGGTTTTATCTGTGTATTTTCACTGAAAACAACTGCCTGCTGCTGCTGGAAACCAGATGGGTGTTTCATGTAGGTGGCTGAGAAAAGCAGGCTGATTGTCTTGAATTAACCTAACAGGAACGGTCTGTTTCATAAAGCTGTGTTGTGAGCAGACTAATTAAAGTCTGATTTGTTTCACGGAAGAAAAAACAGGTCTCTTCAATTTAAGTCAATACAAAACATGTAAAATCAAGGACAACTTTCTTTACTTACTAAGCAGTGAGCTCATTACTGCCACTGGTGGCCAGAAGGTGGCCTACCAGCTACCAGTGTACGCTCAGTGACTGAGTTGAGTTTAGTCAGTGGCCCAACACCTTTCTAAGATACTTTCAGTTGATTTTGCCTTTTATTTTGTATTCATTGATTGATTGATTAATTCAGTGCAACACGGCTCAAGTGCAGAGACTTTTTTGCAGTTATTTGTCTCACACATTACCTGATGTTATCCTCATGCAACATATTCTCAGTGCAGATGAATGCCACATGAATATCGTCTCTGCTCACGGCCTCTTCTACTGAGATCTGACTCACTTCCTGAGTGTCCAGGCTTCTCCTGTTGACAAAAACATCTGTCAAGATGATATTGATGAGAATGAAAAGAAATTGTCAAACGGACTGTAAACTATACAAAATGGAAACGTATACTCAGTTGGCGGTTTATTAGGTCCACCTAGCTAAAAGTAGTACAGTCTAATCCGTCACTCCACCACTCTGTCATTGTGGCTATTTGTAGCACCCATACCTCTAATTAATCGCATGTGCCTGTAAACCGTTATTGCAGTGTCGTATACATAAATTTATGAATGCGCCTTTGATTGACATATTTCATGTCCACCTCATCATTTCACCTGCAGCTATCTAGCCAGCTGTATAGTGTTCCCCACAGATAGACCTTCCTTGGGCGGGCGGCCCAGGTATATTTGGCAACCATTTTAGCATTTTGCAGAGAAACACAGAGATATGTTATCTGGTATTATGTTACAAGACGCAGACACAGTGGATATTTTACAAGGACCAGGACCAGGAAGCAACAGTAAACAGTGAACAAACCAGTCCAGGGCCCTGTTTCAGAAAGTGGGTTTAGTGAAAACCCTGAGTAAGTTAAGCCTGAGATGAGGGTCTTCTTCCAAGTCAGATAAACTCTAGATCAGTAACCCCAGCAACTTACGCTGTGAACCTAACCTCCTCAGGAGGAGGTTTACTTCATACAACATATGCTGAGTTTCTCTCTGACTCCTCCTGCAGAGCCTGAAGTGGCAGTCTGACATTTCCTCATTCATACTGTCCATATCAAAGCACATATCTGAACGCAATTACGTCTTTAGAAACTTGGAGATCCCGGTTAGAAAGGCTATTTGTTTTTTTTAACCAAACATGACAGCTTTTATGATCAATCTGTCATCGATGTATGGACAGAGAGCTATCTTTTGACATTGTGGATTTATCCTCAGCACAGAATAAAATCTATAAGCTACACTGTCCTTCTTTATAACACAGTGACTCTGTGGACATTAAGGCAGCTGTCAGGTTGGCAACATTTGCACAAAAACACTTACCGTGAGCTACATTACTGCAATAATCACTGTTTAAACTAATCTGTATAAAACTGATCAATGAACAGTAATCTTTCATATTGTAGTCGCACTGATTGGAACATTTCTATCGTAGTTATCAACTGGATATGATGTGAATATTTCTGAGTGAGGATGACTGTGGTGCAGCTGAAACAAACAGGCCTAAAATAAGTTTAAAAGTGAGTTTTTCATTATTAGCTGCTGATAGTCTGAATGTGTTTTGACAGAATTTCATAAAATACGAAATCAGTAAGATCATGTATCAATGTCTAAAACGTTTTGAACCTATAGACACATTTTCCACTGCAAAAAAAATCATTATTGGGCTAACCTACTGGGTCGGACTGTGACTTTTCAATCACAGGTCCATGAGTAGGTCTAATCTGTTCGATTAATATTTTCATCTTCAGTTATGGTGAATCGTAGTATCGGAGCTCCATTGATGATGGGGTTTTTTTTTCATCCACACGCACGCGCTTCCATCAGGATCAACATACTCTGAGATGACTGAACTGATTCTGATCAGCTTTTCTGGAAACGAAAGTTTCACATCTCAGGCTCAGTCAACTCAGAGCTCAGGGATAAGCTCAGAGTTTGTTGAACCTGCTTTCTGAAACGGGACCCAGATGTCATTCAGTACTGTTTTGAAAACGAAGCGTGGGTGGAAAATTCCAAAAGACTTTTCTGTGAAAGTTCTGTGTCTTTTTGGCAACTTCATAAAACATGCAGATCAAACACATACAGGAAAAGAGAGACAGAAAAGGCAGGGCAATCAGGTGTGTTTGCAATTAGAGACCAGAAGTGTAGGTGTGTGTGTGAGTGTGTGGAAGACAGAACTGAAGGGTAAAGCCAGGTGAGCAGTTTCAAGTAGTGAGAAAACACTTACACAGCAGCCGCTGCCGCTGTCATTCTGTGAGAAACACTGATGTACAATGTAAAAGTGCAGACTGACAAAATCTGTGTTCACTCAGGGGTATGACTATGACTGAGTCATCAAAGTTGAGTAAATCTTCCTTTCTTGAACATTTGATTGTTTTGAGAGAAGCTGATTCAGCTTTATGATCTTTTTAGAGACTGTAGTTTGTGCTGCTGTTACACTGCTATCCATGCCACATGACTTTATTCGTTAACAGTCCAGTTAAAGCTGCAGTAGGGAATTATTTTAGAACTAACTTTTTAGATAGATAGATACTTCGGAGGAAATTATAATTTGTTACAGTAGCAGCAACCACATTCAGTCCACACACACACACACACACACACACACACGCAACACGATCTATATAGTTGATTTGTAAAATAAGAAGCTAAGAAGCTAAAGAAGCTAAAATATGCTGGAGTCCTAAAAACGAGAAGAATAAAAGAAGCCCAATCGCAAAAGTTAATTCACTACAAGGACAAGTATCCTATCAAAACATTTCTAAACAAAAATCAGGGTACAATGAATTACCCGGACAGTTATTTACTATTTAGGATCTTCCGAAACACCTCTACGGTGTGAAGTGGGTGCGAGGGAGAGACTTATGCAAAGTTTTGCATTGTATGTTCAATGTTTACCGACTGCAGCTTTAAGGGCTGAACTGTGACTACTCACAGTGGATTTCTGTTATTCTCATGTTGGGACTGGCCACACACACACATCAAAAAGTATTCCTATTCCAGTGTGGATGTCATTATTTTAGAAAGGGTCTAATGTATCTGTAATGTATCTTTATTTCTATTTTTTCTTTAAGGACACACACTGACAGGTACAGAGTGCACGCAGAAGGACTCTGTGCCCTCCCCAGGTTGTTTCAGGCCATGTCCTATGTTACTTATGCCTATGGCAAATAATGCTTGTGTTTATCTGTGCATGCTGTGCAGCATGTGCGTATTACCTGGATATGACTCCTCGGGCAGTGAGCTTCTCTGCAGGACTGCCAGGCTGTGGAGCTAACATGTCTCTAATCCTCACACAACCTGCTGTGCCCATGCCAACCACGACTGCTCCAAACATGCTGACTGAGAAGCAAAGAGAAGAGGTTAAAGAGTAGTTCAGTGCATGAAGGGCCAAGTGACCCCTTACATATGTTTAAACCAGGGCCGTAGCAAGATTACGTAAATATTCAGGTCATAATTCCACCCAACAGTCCAGCGGATTAGTTTGAAGAAACTGTTTAATATACAGCTGGTCCAACATAGTCTGACTTATGCTGAGAACTGAAGCATCAATGCAGTTTTACCTTCATCTCATAACTATCCCATGTGGTAAATCATATGCACGTAAAACTCCCTGCTAGTTTTACCCGCATATGATTTACCGAAAAGACATACAGCATAGCATTGTATTAACATTCCCCCTTAGATGAAAAGTAGCGTCCATTTTCACATTTATGCTACATAGGCATTAAAAAGGTTTTTCTCTTTAGAAGAGGTGGTCATTTAGATTATCTGTGAATCCTTATGGTCTGTTGGATTTGTCTAAATTTGTCTTGGCCATTAAGTGTCACATTTTTATTCACGTCTGACTGCCGTGATAACGTAAGACAATGAGTGTAAAAATATCCACCATCAATTTAAAGAAAACCTGTTATGTTTATCTTTTAGTGTAAACTGCACTTCAGGTCAAAAGGTTCACACAAAGTTCAGTGGACTGTTTACCTGTGTGACAAGCAAAGACTCTACAGGCCTAGAGCTCTGCACTACGATCTAATGAGTAACAAAGAAATACTTCCAGATCCTAATTTCTTTTCAGTGACATTTTGCTGAGTTGGCACAACTCATAAACGACAGTGAACCCAGCAACAACAATACAGGCTACACCGGGGGGGGGGTTCATAAAGCTAAACTACATAGCTGCCGTAGAGAGGTCGTTTTGAAATATTATACAGCAGGGGTTTTCAAAGTCTGAGACTGTGGACCTCCCCTAAGTCAAAGCTTGGGAAAAGTCACCTCCTAACCCGCCTTAGTTTACTTGCTTAATTTTGCTCAGTTCCTGGATGCATTTAGGGTTATGATCATGGTGGAATGATATTGCTGTGTGACATAACTTCAGACTTCACCAAATACATTACAAAAAGCTCTGTCCTAAGATATTTATTAGTTTCTGACTTTGATAAAGTGGGTTTTTAAACAATTCCCCAAAACTACTGTATCTCCGAACTCTCTCTTTAACTAAGTCACACAGACATAGGCTATTCTATGTGGTCTGATTTTGCTAACTAATGTAATATTGTTTCACACTCACTGAGCTTCCACAGAAACTATTTGGAGCCCTCCTGGGGGGGCCAGCTTCCCACTTTGAAAACCTCTGGGTTACACAATGTATAAGGAAGTGTGATGTTGGCAGTGGTGAGCTGGATAACAGTACTTCCTACACTGTGAAGGTTGTGTTCAGCTGTAAAATGCCCCATAAGTCATAAATAAAAGACCACTGACTTGCAAGTCAGAGCTTGACTGCACCTGTGTGGACTAAGTTAACCATTTTAAGTAATCTATGGTAATCATTTATAGTATCTAAATATAGATACTAATGGTAGAAACTGAGCACAGCTGGTGCCGATATTATTTTAATTCCCGTGTCTAAGTTTCCTTTAATCAGAAATCCAAAAACAGCACAGTCCAAGCAGAATACCGGGCCGATGTGACCCGGGGACAGTTGTCCTTTTGTGACTCAACATTAACTTACAGTAATGCCATTTGTTCGTCGCCTTTCTGCAGGACAAGCCTTAGAAATTAAAGGACACATTGCTGCTCACTTACCTGCTTTTATTTCGCTCTTCCGCGACCCACACGAAGAAATCTGGATGTGTTTGTTGTGCGTATGTAAAGAGATGACATAACACGAAGCTCGCGCTTGGATAACAACCTCTCTGCTGTTGAGTCTGCTGCGCGAGGCGGTTCACTATCTGTCGCAGGCATTACATAAGGCGCGCTTGTTATGCTGCAGTGGTGAGCCAGGCCTACGGTGGGAGAGGGGCGGGGTTTTCTTTCTTCACTAATTCCTAAATATTATAATCAAGTTTGAATTTATGGACTCAGTAATAGGTATTACCAAAGAACTGTACTTACAAATCATATAAAACACACTTAAATACATTACAATGATTATATTACTATTACAAATTAAATGCTGTAAAAACTGCCATTTAATCCTGTTTGTACAATGAAATGAATCAATACTCTAATAGAAAATACTCATGTCTCCTGTGTGGCATTCACGACAATGGGATTGTCTATTTCTGCTTTTTCACTCTTTTTAAGATGTTCTTACATAACTTGAAACTGAAGTAGTTTCATAGTTGGGTCCATGAACTCCTCCTGGATAGTGCTGGGTTCACTGATATTTCAGGCTGACTGTCTAGCACTCTCCAGGCTGGCCATCGCAACGTGACGTCGGGTTGTGTTTCTCCAAAATTTGATTCTGTTAAAACTTTTTTTCTGTAGACTATTCATGCCAGAAGAGCACTTTTCAGAGAACCAGGTTTACGCTGGTAACCACAACCTTTCAAACCTCAACCTGTATCTAACTATGGGAGATGTGGCCGAGTCCTGACTTGCATGCTCCGAAGCCCATCACACCTCAGCCCAGAAGGGTCCCACAAGCCCTCTACGTGGGCTAGTACACATTTGACATGAACCCACACTCAGACATTTGTTTGTGATACAACAACAAGATTGTTTGAACTCAAAACAGTTGTAAGGCATTTAACACAGCTTAAGATTTTGAATAAACCCTGGCATCAAACCTACAAACTAACTGTGTTTGTATTTGTGTCAGTAATGTGGTTAACATAGGCTAAGCCATTAGGAACAATGACCAGAAAAATAAAAGTAAGTTACAATCTGTACACATTGTGCACTAATATTGCTTCTGAAAGAAGGCCCATCTACTGGATATTATGGCCGGGTAAATAGAGCTCCAGGTAACAACATTAATTCACAGCCATATTGCCATATTACAGTTGTGGGAAATAGAGCATTATGAGGATTTTCTCTGAACATGAGCAAGAATAACTCCACGGGCAGTTCATACTCAACTCAATATCAGTTTGAAACACCCATGGAGTTATCAGGGCTGTAATGCACAGATAAGATAGATAAAAACTGCCCCCTCTTGTTTTTTTAAATGAGGCATTTTTGAGATGAAATGATGTGTTTTGAGAGCCACACTCTGCTGCATTGCTTTGAGTATTTGAAAAAGGTGTCATAGGTCATTATGACATATTTAGTCTACAAATGCACACTTCCTAATATATACCCCTGAATCCAGAATGCAGGGGGAAAGACAATAGCACCAGAAAGACCTATCAGCATGAGCTACTTCTATGATATGAAAATGTTTAAATGCAAGTTTGTTGAAGGGCGTGATCTGGGTTCATGTTCTGATTTGACCCAAAGTTGAGAGTTAATAAAGGAATGGCTGATGAGAAGTTGTCTACTGAGACATTAGCTATGTTTCCAACCAAATGTAATTCAATTTTAACAAAATTTTGAGAAAATCCGCAAAATTGAATTATGGAAAGGATTCACAGAGATGTTATTCTGTGGTAAAATTACACAATGTTGCTCAGTCACTTGCTGCTAGCTATAAATCTCTAGTTGATGTTATCAAACTTGCTAAATAACACAAAGCCGCCTGGCCGAACATGAAAGGCACACGCCAGAGTATTAATGGAGCGCACCCGATACAGTCCGTGTGACGTTTACGGATGTAAACAGAGGCGCGGAGTCGTCCCACCATGCGTCCTACTGGTGTGTAACAAGGTGAGCTGCAGACACAGAGCTGTCATGTCATATGAAGATCAGCTGCAGTTAGACAGTATACACGTGCAAACACACACACACACACACACACACACACACACACGAAAAGCCACTGATTTCCCACTGATTCTAAACACATTTTTCATTTATTTTAGGAATGTCCCTGTAGCTGAAGCTGCGCTTTCGTGGAGTGTTCCGAGAAGAAAGTAAGCAGGAAGATCCTCCACAGTTTCCTGCGGTAAGGCACATTAAATTATTCTAGTCAAACAATAACGTTACATCATAAAGACAGTGAACGTTACCGCAAACATCTCTTTGTGCTGTTAGCTGTAACGTTCAGGGTCATGGCCAGGATCGTAGAAATGCTGAGCCGTTTTAACATTTAGTACTTAAAATTAGGAGTCGCTATTTAAAAGCCACTTAACGTTACTTATTAGTAAGGATCTATTCCATAAGTTTTCCATAACTAGTAAAAAATCTAGTATTAAGAATGAAAATGTTATTTAGTATTTTTTAGAATAGTTAACTAATGAACAGGTACTAGTATCTAAATTATAGAGCTTAATTAGATAAATAAACAAATATGGCCAATTTTTTTTTATTCAGTGTCTTATTGCATCACTTTCAACATCAAATATATAAATGAATATAACATAATAAGCAGCATAACTGCAGTATATTTCAGGATTTGCACTCAGTACCAGTGGTGTGGCACATAATTCTGGTCCATTTACATAAAGCATTTTTATACAAGGGAAGAAAGAGGCGCTGGAATATTTTTCACAAGTTACAAGTTGATTAAAACTCATACATGCCAACATATTTATTTTAGACATTCGGTGATATTTCATTACCACGAACCTCAAGCTTTTTGAGTAGGTGATAACAGACAGCTGACTGCAGCAAGGTTGTTATTGAAAGCTGCTGCAGTGCAGTGTAACATTTATATTTTATTTCCCACTGTGAATGTTTTTGCCACTGAAAATGTCAAAGCAGAAACTGATTCTGTGAGCAAAGGTTTAGATATTTCATGGTTTGAAAGCCCATAGGCTAAAAGGTTTGTGAGCTCCGATGTTTAATGCAGTTGCTGCTTCTGTTCCTGTGGTGTAACTCATAGTTACTTCATTATGTAAGATATTTTGCCAGCTACAGTGTCTGTCTGTGCAGGCTTACAAGGAAGAAAAGATGAGAGTTTCCACCAGTCAGCTGCAGCAGCTCACCATCTTCACTACAGTGCTGACCGGTGGAGGGATCGGCACCATGTACTATCTGCTGCAGAGTGAGTACAAATGATCGCTCTGTGTGTGTGTGTGTGTGTGTGTGTGTGTGTGTGTGTGTGTGTGTTGTGGAGGCAGCTGCTTTATTCTCTCACAATTCAACTGACATTTAAACTGATCTCACTGGACTTGCACTGCTTGGGGTGATGATGGCGCAGTGCATAAGACACATGCTTTTGTTGTGAGAGTTCAATCCCCCACTGTGACACATCCACCAACGTGTCCCTGAGCAAGACACTTAACCCCTAGTTGCTCTAGAGGTGTGCGACCTCTGGCATATATAGCAATTGTAAGTCGCTTTGGATAAAAGTGTCAGCTGAATGAATAAATGTAACGAAATGGTTGCAAAGTGCATAACTTTAACCAGAAATGCGCCGATTGATCAGCCGGTTACCAGAATTGGTCGGTTTTCAGTCTCACACATCTGATCTGGTCAAATGTACATGCATTATGGTTCTTGTCATGTGCACAGCGACACAGACAGTCCACTGACTGTTGCAGAAAAAAAAAGAGTGAGAGGCAGTTTACTAGTTTAACCTGCAGGTGACGACATTACCTCACATGAGTTGACTGGATTGCCACTACCTAGCACCATCCTCAACCATAAGAGACAAAAAGAAGGGGTGCCTGGTTTCAACCATGTGGTCAAAGATAAAGTGGTAAATCTTGATTTAAAGTAATGGTAGTGATTCAGGATGTGGTTCATCATTGCCATCTCCAAGTGTGCTTTACGGTGCCCTAGTGTTAAAGAAAAGTAGATGAAAAGCAGAGACATTCTGTATTCTATAAAGCTCACTCAGGAATACTTCAGGTAGTTATAACGTACTTTGATGTAAAATTGTAAGTGTTCTTTGTTTAATTCAAATATTTTTTCTCCTGCCCCCAAAAGGTAAAATACGGGACAGTCAATACAAACAGTGTCAAAACTTTGGTTCTTTCCTCTACCCCACCCTAATGTCCCTTTGTCAAGGCCGGATTAGTACCCCCAGGGGCCCCTAGGTACTGAAGCTACGAAGGGCCCTCCTCCCATCCCTAACACCCGCACTTTCATTAACAAAGCTATTGACACCCAGCAAACCACAGGCACCTGATAGCACCTTCGCCTCACCAGACAGACTGCACCAACACACACAGACACACACACACACATGATGCTAAAGCCCACCTTAATTAGGCTATTTGAACTTCCAGCCAAGCTGGCATGTCAAATCACGCACATTGGTGAAACGTTGATGACTAGTCCAGCTGAGCAGGCAGCAAGTCTGCCTGTCCTGTTCAATAAATCAAGTGCTGCCATCTCACTCACAAATAACAATACAATGATATAATGAATTCAGTCATCCCAAGACAGTGTGTGGCTCAGTACTGTGGCAAAAATAGTGTTCACTGAAAATCACCCAAGCAGAAAGCACACTAGTAATTATGAAATATGACTGACAACATCATAACACAACACTGCTGAGTGCAGTTTGCAAAAGAACAGTCACTAAGTGAGCTGGGCAACTTCACACACTCCAAAAGCCAACATATCTAGTATTTGACAAACTTAACTCTCACACAAGTTTATAGCAGCATCACATCATAATGACGCAATGTTGCATGCAAACAGCATGTAAACCCTGCAGAAAAATGTATTATCTGGTCACACAATCAGATTAACCTAAGTTTCCTGGTTTACAGGTAGAATAACAGCTCTCACCTTTAGAAGTTCTTATATTCTGTCTTTTTCTATGTAAAGTAGCCGATCAAGTCCTCAAAGTCCAGCTAGCTATATATTTTTCTGGTGGACGGTGACTATGTAATAATAATATAGTTATATAACTGTTAGCTAATGTTACAGTTAACTTCCTGAGGCTGAGCATAGCTGGTAAAGTAGACGATGCTTCAAAGCTCCTCTACATTTCTTGCTTTTTTGAAAAAGCTACTTATTAGCAGAACATGTTTTTTGCAGCTGCTTCTTTATCTTCTGCTATCTGACCACGGATCAGTTACTGATGAATTTCATTTAATCCCAACTTGTTCTCACAAAAACTAATCATTAATTACGCTGCTTGTGTCTGCTGGGTCTGGGCACAAAACCACAGAGGAAGTAACAATAAAAAAGAACTTGACTTGTGCTCGTGCTTTTACTTTAACCAAAACTTCAACTTCTTTAACCCCACACAACAATCCCTGTTCACACAAACGGACTCAAAGTAGCAGGCTGTCTACAGCAGTTGAGCTGCTGACAGCTGTGCTTCCGCTTCCCGATGGAATAAAAACAGCCATGATTAGCTGTCTTTGCATAAAGATGACTCTTTCTGAACTTCTCTGGGTCCCACCGTGAGACTAGACTGGAGGTTGTGTGTCTAGTGTTGCATGCTTTATTGCCATTAATTTCTATATTTCTCTGTCATCTTGGATCCATGAGTAAAATCAGACTTCATCCATCCAGAGGGAATGATCACCGACCGTCCACGGCGGGCCAGTTGCTCCGCAATCTCCTGTCCCCGGCGCTGTACGCTCCACCGCCCCACTCCCTATGTGTCACTAGTACGACCCCCGAAAGTCATGGTTTAGTTCGCACGCTGGTTGAACTGAGCTTTTCAGAGCTCACACTTTAACTGACATTGCAACAGCTTTCACCTGCTACTTGTCAACAAACTGCACTCAACTTTTACTCCTTAACTGTCAGTTCACTTTCAATGAGAACTGCTTACACTTTAATGTTTCAACTGTTTTCAACACTTGTCATTTTATAACCCTCTACATTTTTTGTACCTTTCTGTCTACTGTCCAATTAGAGAGATTTGTCGAGTCAGACTACCACAGACTGGCTCTGCAGAAGTTGGAAGCATGTCCACTTGCCATGGAAAGCTTGGGGGCCCCGCCTTTAAAAGTCCACAACATCCATCTGACTAACAGAAACAACCGCGTAGATCAGCACACTGCACAGGTATTGTGTTTTAGAAAGTCATCAGAATGTGTCATTCTTTGTTCGACTGGAGCTTTCACCAGACTGTTTCTACAAAACTTCTGCCCACTTGTGCTGGAGACTCGGTCAGCTGTGCAAACAATTGTTTGGCTACCTGTCCCTGTTGTAGTGATACATTGCTTAATAGTTATGAAAATGGGTTAGTGTGAAGGAGCAGATTCAAACTCACTGCCGACTGTCAGAAGAAATCAGTGTTCACATAAAATAATTGAATTTAACTCCAGGCACCACCCTTTGAAACAGGAAACTTGATAACCAATTCATTAATTTCATCTAGAAGGTTTGCCTCAGAATTTTTGACTGGTGTACAGTGACCATTTATTTCACACACACAATTCCTAATCAGGTTAATTTTTTTATGAAAAGTTTATTAAACTACTAACTACACACATAACTAATGACTGCTAAACAGCAATTGAATGGGCACATACAACCGCTCACAACTATCAGTAAATGTGAACAAATTCAATGAATCCAGCAATTGATTCATTTATAATGCATGAATTAAACTGAATATTAATTCCATTCATAAAGCTCTGATTTCTGTTTTCACTGCAGATTAATTTAAATTTGCATTTGTTGCAGATACAGATCCCTGTGACTGGGTCAAAAAACGGAGGTTATCTGTACACTTCTTCAGTTAGAGACCCAAATACCAACAGGTGAGTAGATTCTGTTCTATACTTCAGTGCGAATGATGGTGACAATCAATTTTTATTAAATTTATTGTGACATATTAATGTGTTGTGTAAATTATTGTGAGCTTTCATAAATGCTTCTCATAGATGTTGACATTTTTAATTGCTGGCAAATTAATGTGGCATAGTGATATCAATTTGGGAGCAGCACAGTATGGAATCCCCCTGCCCTTGAAAATCACTTTGCATATATGTGTGGTATTTGTACAGCACAGAGCTTCCACGGATCTGATGAATGTAAGGAAAGGCCCAAGGCTTTTCTTTTGAAGGCAAAGGGTGGTCATACCTTTTTCGTCTGTTCACTCATTTTGAATTTGATAATTGACAAATATAATCTGTTAACATGTCTATTTTTGAAAGCTTTTTTATTTTACAGTATTTTTCCGTACCAGCCTAAAACGTTTGCACAGTACTGTAAGAGCAAATTGCTGCATGTAAAGATATAAATCCCACTATAACCCTTGAGAGAATGCAAAGCAATAGCCAAAGGCTTTATAGCAAGAACAAACAAACTTGTTGTCACTTGTTGCAGGAGGAAATAGATTTAAAAGAGGTTGTCAGTACAGAAGCTCTTACGGAGATTGTATCACATCAGTTTCTATATAATGTGACCATTTACACATGACCATTGGCTCAGGTGTTTCAGAGCTAAGAGACCAGTGATGTGACTGGCTGAGATTGTATTAAGAAACCACTACACCCTAATAGCGCCTGCGCCTGCACTTGCGTCAATGAAATAGGAGCATGGGAGTTTTATGCAATATATGTCACAAGTTGTGAGGTTACATAATGAACATTATATAAACTACGATAATGCTTATAACGTGACATATAGATTTACATACAGAGTGACACTTAAATGTGAGATTTACTAAAGGTTTGCGTGAGTAAAAACGTGTTATCACCTGCAAATTAACACGTAAGCTGATGCTACTAACGGTGTGCACGCAGAATGACGTTTTCAAAAAGGCAAGATAGCGCCTGTTTTTTATTTTCTACTTTTGCCTTAATGAATATGCAGTTTTATTTTGCAAAGTGGGATCTACTACACGCAATGTGATCTAACAAGCCTAAACGCAATTTCATGTGAGTGCAACAGCATCTGTGCAAACCGCCAAGTGCTGCGCAGAGATGGCTGCTGTTATCGTTACGAGAAAGAGACACAGCCGTAATGAAAGATAATATTAGATAATATTATTCTATATCCAATGTATTGAAATACATTATATACATAATATTTTATTTTTCGATGAACTTTTATTTGCATTTTCCTTTAGCTTTGGCAACACGGTTGTATTAACATTCATGCCAATAAAGCAAATTTGCATCGACCTGACTTCTTTTCTCCGTGAGATGGAAGAATTTAGAAAGTTGAGTGGCGCTGCGGAGAGCCCCCAGCTGCAGTAGTGCATTGAATTAGGTGCATAAAATTCATCCAGCCAGAGGGAACGATCTCCAACTGTTCACAGCGCGCCGGTTGTAATAGCGACACAACCCATTGTAGGTATCGGAGAGGGAATAGGGCGTTGGGGCGTACAGGGTCAGGAGATCGCGGAGCAACTGGGCGCGGTGCAGACGGTCGGTGATTGTTCCCTCTGGCTAGGTGAAGCACGATCTGCTGGCATTTCCTCGCATCTGGGGCATTCCAGCATACTGTAGCTGCTGGGGTTTCCCAAAGCAGTTTTTCAGGTTTGCTGTTCCAAGTACAAGTGCAATGCAGCGATTTCCACATACTCGGGACGCACTGAACGAAACAAACCTCCTGACTCTCCATGGTGGAAACCATTAAAATGCAAAACCCTCATTTAAATACTGCCACCTCCTTTGTGTTTGCGCCTGTTGTCATCTATGCAATAATTCTTAGAAATCACTCATAACAGGTACTAAAAAAATTGCACATGGAATATTTAGGATTCACACGCAATTTAGTCCTCTGCTATCGTGTCTGTCTCCATACTTTGTATTTTGAAGATCAATGTTTGTCACACTTTCAATGTAGCATTACCCGTGCTTTGTATGCACCTTTCCAGACTCATGTTTGTCCCTCCCTGC